TCCACAGACTCAGAAGACCAGCGTGGCTTGAGATACCGGCCTGTGAGCCCATTGCATCAGCCACAGGAAGACTGGCTTTTCCCAGAACTGGGGTGAGGGGAGGTTGGATGGAGGAAGTTGGGAGTGGGGCTGGATAGGAAGACCGACTAGCTTCCTGGGTCCTCTCTAGTCCAGACTTCACGCAAAGCCTGCAACAGTCCTGCTTGAGGTTCTCTGAACAGCAAAGACTCATTACAGCCAGCATTAAGTAGAAAGAACCCGGACCTCTTGGTATGACTGAGGACTCCAGAGAACGGTCCCTGTCGCCTCTTTAATGCACAGTCCTTAGACTCTTGATGTCTCCATATCCAGAAGAATTTTTTTCAGCTTGAAAAATTGCCTCATTTAGCTCGACCCCTCCAGTTTCTAGGTAGGAGACTGAGGCCTACAGAGACTTGTGGTGTATGGAGTGTTTTGGGTGTGGATAGCACTTGCTCCTTAGTCTGGGAGGACATACCACAGAAGCTGCCTTCTCAAGGATAACAAGCATCTGGAGTTAGGCCTGAGACACTGCATGACTGAATTTTGAAGCATCTGGGACTGCTGCTCTGCCGTGACTCTGGTGTGTTACCTTCTTTTATCTTCTCCCTAATGTACATCACAACATGGGCAGTGTGGTAATGCAGCCAGATTTCATGTGTTCGTCATGGCTCTCCTGCAGACCTCGACTGCCTACCATCCTGTTAGGACACAGTGCTGACACACAGAGGCCTCTGGTGTAGGGGCTTCTCTAGGGCTTAGAGCACATGGTGTGGGAGCAGGAGCAAGGCAGATCACAGATAGCCTCTGACCTTGGGGTTTGTGTACACCATAAATGGGCGTCAGACTCAAGGCCTTACACTGTGCTACAGACCCACCTGCTACTAAGCTACACCTCAGCTCTGAAATGCTTCTGACTCTGGATCTCACGAGTCAGGACTGGAGAGAAACTGTCAAGGAAAACAGCCTAGGAGGTGGGGGTAGATGGTTCAGCAGTAGGATGCATGCTGGAGAAGGCCCTGAACTTGACCTTAGCCGAAAGGGGGAGGGAGAAGAGGAAAGGTCAGAAGGGAAGGGGAAAGAAGGAAGGGGGGAGGGGAGAGAAGGAAGAGAGAGAGAGAGAGAGAGAGAGAGAGAGAGAGAGAGAGAGAGAGAGAGAGAGAGAGAGAGAGAGAGAGAGAGAGATTCCTAGCAGCCTAGCTACAGGGCGCCTGGTGACGTGTGTGCATGTAGAAATCACTTTAAACTGGAAATGCTGCCCCTACTTTGGTCTGCAGCCACTTGGGCTCAGGGCCAGCTGAGGTTACTTGGGGGCAACCTGGGTAGCATTTGCTCGCCTTACCCTTGCCACACATTCACATGCTGCTCCTGGCCAGGCCCTTGACCCCAGTCCCTCGGGGCTAATTCATTTTTTGTCCAGCTTGGGGTGCTCAGGATGAGGTTATCCCAGGGGTCACATCTGCCAGCCTCAGTTTCTCCATGTGGTTGTAGTCTTGGAAAGGTAGAGAGAGAGAGAGAGAGAGAGAAGAGACACACACACACACAGAGAGAGAGAGAGAGAGAGAGAGAGAGAGAGAGAGAGAGAGAGAGAGAGAGAGAGAGAATGTGTGTGTGTGTGTGTGTGTGTGCAAGCTGAATCTTGGAACCCAGAGTCTCACTGTTGCTAGGCACTGGCTCTACCTGAAGATTATCTCTCTTCAGCCCAAGGCTAGGGAAATTAACCGAAGCTTGAGGACTAGTCCAGCTCCTACACGTCCCTTCTTTCTGAGGGCCTCGTGCCTGCCTCCGCCCAGCTGAATCAGACATGGCATCTACAAGAGCAGGAGCACTATACCCTAAAGACCCTGTCTCCCCGTCCTGCCTCCTTCTTTGTCTAAATCTAGAATTTGCCTGAATCCAGCCTTAGGGCTAATGTCTTGACTTTGGGCAAGTGTGTGTGGGTGTGTGTATGGGTGCATGTGTGTATGCATGCATGTAAAAGTCCAAGTTCAACCTTGGGTGTCATTCCTCAGGAGCCCATCCACCCTTTGGGATTGAGATTCTCTGGGACCTGGTGGTCACCAATTCCAGTTAGGCTTGCCAACCCAATAGCTGCAAGGTTCCCGTTTTCGTCTTCTCAGTGCTGGGATCCAAGCACCCACTAGCAACCCAACTCTTTATGGGGGTGCTGGTGAGCAAACTCAGATCCTCGTGCCTCTGCAGCAAGAACTTCACCAGCTGAGCTATCCCCCAGTTCAGTCTGTCAGCTGACGTGACACATGAGGTGGTCACAGTTTATCCAGGGCTTTCTGGCTGTCATGGAGACCAGGAGGCCGTCTTGCTCAGTAGCTTGCTGTCTGGGTGTTTCTGGTTGTGCAGACACCTCGAGGTTCTTCCTTCGGTTCCCGAGTTTTCTGTGCTGGCTCATGCGCACATTCATTTATTCACCTGATTGCTAACCCACATTCTCCTCTCTGCTATCACACTCACTCGCTCTGTCCCTCTGCTTCAAACCGAGAAACATGTCTGGGAATAGGCCGGCCACAGGAGGGATTTAAAAATGCACAGTGTGTGTGAGGCATACCAGGCAAAGGAGGCCTCACCTCTAACTCCAGCCCTTGGGAGGCAGAGACATATGGATCTCTGTAAATTTGAAGCTAGCCTCGTCTACAGAGTGAGCTCTAGGACAGCCAAGACTACACAGAGAAGCCCTGTCTCACAAAACCAAACAACCAAACCAAAACAACAAGAAAACTGTGAAGCATGAGGGTCAGATACTCCGGAGGAGTCCCTGCCCTTGAATCTAAGGCCTGGAGACCATAGCAAAGACTAGCTCTTGAGTTTTCTAATTGCAGCAGAAGAGGCCCAGGAATGACCTGGCCGCTGGGTGAAAGTGACAGGAGGCAGCTATTCCAGAGCCTCCAGGGGCCCTTCTGGCTGTTCTCCATGCCACGCTGGAGTCAGCTTCCCTAGGCCTGACCACAACAGAACAGTTGTTTGCCAGTTCTCCCTGTGGCCCTGGGCTTGAGCACTAAGGCAGAGGGTAATGTCCTCAGGGACCGGGTTGTGGATTCAAAAGGAGTTACACAACCAGGGCTGGAAAAGGCCTTCCTTTGGAGATTTCCACACCTCTCAGTTACCAGCCCATGCTAGACCCAGGGAGTTTGGCTGCATGGCAGCCGTGAATGGCACCAGGACCCTAATGACAGTGCCCTGCCTCATGACCTTAAGTTGGACCCATGTTCAGCATGAGCACTGGAAGAAATTCTCTCCAAAAAGTATAAAACACATGACTATAAGGCTAGAAGTACATCAGTAAAACATTAACTTAAAAAAAACTCTTTTTGCTGTCACAGAGGACCTGGGTTCAGCTCTCAGCACTCACATGATATCTTGCAACATCTGTCAATCCAGTTCCAGAGGACCCACCATGCTCTTACTCTCTTCTGGCCTCTGTAGGCATCAAGCATGTCTCTCCCTCTCCCTCCCCCTCCCCCTTTCTCTCAGGCAAACACTCATGGACATAAAATAAATTTTTTTTTCTTGGAAACAGGGTAGCCTTCGTGGTCCTGGAACTCGCTCTGTAGACCAGGCTGGTTTCAAACTCACAGAGATCCATCTGCCTTTGTCTCCCAAGTGCTGGGATTAAAGGCATGCATCACCACCTAGCAAAAATAAAAGAGGGCTGGAGTGATAGCTCAGAGGTTAAGAGCATTGGTTGCTCTTTGGAGGACCTGGGTTTGATTCCCGGCACCCACACAGTGGCTCACAACATCTGTAACTCAAATTCCAGTGGTCAAATCCCCTCTTCTGACCTCTGCCGGCACCAGGCACACATGGGGTGCATGCACACAGGCAAAACTCTCATACATGTAAAATAAAATGTTTATGTGGTGCAGAGGCATGCACACAGGCAAAACTCTCATATGTGTAAAATAAAATGTTTATGGACTAACCGACCAAAAACCTCATTTACTTAATTCCGTTTATTTATCTGCTTATTATCTTTGTGGTGATGTGATCAAATGCTGAACCCCTGTATGTTATAAAGCCTATCACTGAGCTACATCTCCAAAGCATAAATTGTTTTTGGATTTACTTTTGGGTTTCTCTGAGGCAACATTTTACTTTGCAGCCTAGGCTGACCTGGAACTCATTATTTAGCCCAGGCTGGCCTCAAATTGATGGTGATCCCACTGCCTCAGACTCCTGAGTGTTAGCATTATTAGTTCAAGTCATCACAGCTGGCAAATTCTTTAACTTTTTTTTAATAGTTTTATTTAACCTTTATATGCATTGGGGTGAAAGTATCAGATCACCTGCAACTAGAGATACAGACAGTTGTGAGCTGCCATGTGGGTGCTGGGAATTGAACCTGGGTCCTCTGGAAGAACAGTAAGTGCTCTTAACCACTGAGCCATCTCTTTAGCCCTCAAATTCTTTAACTTAACATATTAATTTTGGAAAACTGCTCTTCCAGTTCAATCTAGGAAACAATTTGATGCCAAGTCTTTATCTACTGACTGATATGGGCTATACTGGACTAATGTGTCCTGCCAGCAGTTCTGTCACAGACAGGTGCTTGGTGGAAAAGTACTCCTGCTAGGACTTAGTCATGACATCACTCACTATGACTGGACTTCTGGCTCTGGTTTCAGGGCTCTTTGTCTTGCACCAAACTGTTCCATTTCAGGATACTGCTCCTGTGTTCTTTTCACAGCCAGTTACCTAGATTGAAGAACTAAGCTGTGTGCATTAGGAGGGAAGCAAGCAGCAAAGACGCAACTTGACTTCAGATACTCTAAAAGAAGTATTGGTTGCCTGTAGTCAAATGTACCGGCTGCCAAGGGGACAAAGCTTCCTTTTAACTGGCTGGACAAGCTGCTGAAGGAAGAGCTGGCCTCTCACTGAGGCAGTCATGCAGGCCTGAAATTACAAGCAGAAGGCTGGCAGGTTTGTCCCTGGGTGGATGGATCACCTGATAGAGACACTGGGGACCAAACCCTGGGATTGGCTTAAAACAGGGCTGTGTTGATCCAGTGGCTGGGCTTTGGCATCCTGTCAATCTTCTGTCTGCTCAAAAGCCTAGAAATAGTGCTGGGGCAGTCTGCCGGATTCTGAGAAAGGAAGCAGCCATGCAGGTGCTCACTAAACGCTACCCCAAGAACTGCCTGCTGACCGTCATGGATCGGTACTCGGCCGTGGTGCGCAACATGGAGCAGGTGGTGATGATCCCCAGTCTTCTGAGGGATGTGCAGCTGAGTGGGCACGGGGGCTCGGTCCAGGAGGGAGCCCCAGATCTCTATGCCTACTTCACCATGCTCAAGACCATCTGTGTAGAAGTGGAGCACGGGCTGCTGCCAAGGGAAGAGTGGCAGGCCAAGGTGGCCGGCAGCGAAGCCGGCGTCACGGAGAATGAAGCTGTTGAGGCAGAGGAGGCAGAAGAAGAGAGGATCTCGGGGGAGCTGGACCTAGAAGCTCAGTTTCATCTGCACTTCTCCAGCCTCCATCACATCCTCACCCACCTTACCCGTAAAGCCCAGCAGGTGACAAGGAAATACCAGGAAATGACAGGACAGGTCCTGTAGGCCTCCAACTCTAAGGAAGGTAATGGCAGTCCTGCCAGTGGGTTATACTCCATGAAGGGACAGGAGGGAGGAGGCCAAGCGAGCTCTCACGTCAGGGGTATTGGGACTATCAAGTGGGAAGGCCCAGGACTGGGCCTGTGTGCCTAGCATTCGCACCCTGTTGATAAGCAATGACTGTGAACTCCTACAAGGGAGAACACAAATGTAGCCTATGAGCACATCCCTCCTGTGTGTGTGTGTGTGTGCATTTGTTAGTAAATGTTTGTAGATTATGACTTGAATGAGTCTATTCCCAAGGTCAACAGAGTTTCTCTGTGTAACAGTCCTAGCTGTCTTGGAACTTGCTTTATAGTCCCAGCTGGCCTTGAAGTCATAGAGATCCGCCTACCTCTGCCTCCTGAGTGCTGGGATTAAAGGTGTTTGCCATCATGCCTGGCTTTCAAGGCCAACTTTTTGAAAGTTTTTAAATTATTTATTATGTTTTTGGTAATATACATATATATGTATGTACACACACACAGATATGTATATGGATGTGTGTGTGTGTCATGACACACATGGGAAGGTCAGAGAACAACTTGTGGGGGTCAATTCTCTCCTTTCACCGTGTGGGTCTGAGGGATTGAACTCTCATCATCAGACTTGGTACAGGGACCTTCATCTGCTGAGTCAGCCATCTGGCTGGCCTTTCATAAAGTTACTATTATTACTGTGTGTACATTATGTATGCTATGAGGAAGGGAGCTCTATGTGTGTGAGGTCAGAGGACAACTTTGTGGAGTGAGTACTCTCCTTCCACTTTCAACTTGGGTTGCAGGGATCAAATCAAGTCACTAGACTTGGGAGGTGACCTTCACCTTCTGAGCCACCTCACCATCCCAAAGCCACAACTACCTCTCCTCCTCCTTTTCTTTTCCTTTTTTTTCTTTTTGTTGTTGTTGAGACAGGGTCTCTCTATAAAGCTCCTGGAACTTGCTAAGTAGACCAGGCTGGTCTTCTAGAGGAGCTGGGTTCAATTCCCAGCACCACATGGCAGCTACCAACACTCTATAATACCAGTTCCTGACACCCATGGAAAAACATCAATGTCCAGTAAGCATGGACAGTAGTTATCTGAAATTATAGATAATGTCCACAGAGCTCTCCCCCCAGCTTTAATGTCGCCCTCTCAAATCCTCATCTTTTGCTCTCCATAGCCTGTGTACCTCACAGGACAGCTGAGCCGAAGAATGAGGGGCACTCAGAGGTCAGAATCCTTCCATGGACCTAAAGGAATGAGCCTCTGTCTGTACCCACTCCCAACAGTGCTTCAATCCAGGCTTCGACACTACCTTGTTCTGGAAGGTCTCCTGGTAGGAGCCTTGGGCTCTCTAGACCCACAAGCTTCTTAAACTCTGACTCATGACCATATGGAGTCATAACTGAAAATCTTTTTTTTTTCAAGACAGATTTATTTGTACAGTTCTGGTTGTCTTCGAACACACTCTATAGACCAGGTTGGCCTTGAACTCACAGAGATCTACTTGCCTCTGCCGGCCAAGTGTTGGGACTTAAGGCGTGTGCCACCAACACCCGGATTGATTTGATTTGATTACATTCTCTCTCTCTCTCTCTCTCTCTCTCTCTCTCTCTCTCTCTCTCTGTCTCTCTGTCTCTCTCTCTCTGTCTCTCTCTCTCTCTCTCTCACACACACACACACACATTTGACTTTTTAAACATTCCACACTCTACAGGTGACTTTACCCTGAGAGAGGGAAGACTGACGAGGACTCAATGGTGCATCAGCCTTGGGACCGGAAGGGAAGACCCAGCTGACAGCGAAGGGGACTTGTGTCTCTGGGAAGCTTCCCCACCGACAGCTGATGGAGTTTGTGGACTCAGTTGCAGGCTCACCCTTAAGATGTCTGTTTCGATTCCCAACTTCTCCTCCTTAGCAAGGAGCCAAAGTTCACATCTCGTGGATGTCATTTAGTGCCCAGTGTCACAAGTTATTTATCCCAGGAGCCCAAATTCCCCTCATGTATAAAACAGAGATGCTGTGTCTACCTCACAAGGTTACTAAAAGGAAACAGGGAATCAAAAGCACTTGGCACGTACTGACACTCTAACAGCTGGCATCGCTCCTAACGCCGGAATGCATGCTATGTGTAGCTCTTGCTTTTCACCCCACAGAAGAGGCAAAGGTAGCTGAGTGTGCGAGACGAGCTACTCGCCCCGTTGAATCTGATGACCACTGATGAGGCTGAGCACAGGTGAACTATGAACCTATTTATTGCAGTCACAATAAAAAAAATCATGGTGTGTTCATGTTTTTTTCTTTTTTAAAGTACTGTCTCTAATATAATTTCCACAAGTGCACTCTTGGACACCAAATTCTGTGTCTGAGTTTCCCAGAAACAATTTGTTATATCCATACTGTTACCTAATTTGAAATCAAGTATCTACTAATTTTACTCACCTCTAAAACCTAATCTGATTATATATAGGTTTGTAAAGAAAAAGAAGGGGAAGGGCTGCAGAGATGGCTCAGTGGTTAAGAGCACTAGCTGGTCTTATCTAAATTTAAACTGGAAAAAAAAAAAAGAGCACTAGCTGGTCTTCCAGAGGTCCTGAGTTCAAATCCCAGCAACCATATGATGGTTCACAACCATCTATAGTGAGATCTGGTGCCCTCTTCTGGCCTGCAGCTGTACATGCAGGAAGAACATAAATAAATACATATAATGTACATAAGAAAGGACTTAGAGTTGTCCTGAAAGAAGTGTGTGTATTTTAACCTTAGTTAGGGTTTCCATTGAAAAAGAAAAAAGGGCCGGGCGTTGGTGGCGCACACCTTTAATCCCAGCACTCGGGAGGCAGAGGCAGGTGGATCTCTGTGGGTTCAAGGCCAGCCTGGTCTACAGAGCAAGTTCCAGGACAGCCTCCAAAGCCACAGAGAAACCCTGTCTCGAAAAACCAAAAAAAAAAAAAAAAAAAAAGGGGGGGGGGTGAGCAGCATTTGGGTTTGATGAGCTGTAAAGAATTGTTTCTCTGTGAGTTCCAGGACAGCCCAAACTACATACTAAGACCCTGTGGTGACAAGCACCTTCTGTCTGCTAGGTGTGGTTTTCTAGTGTCAAAGCTTCAGCAGACTATGGCAGCTACCAAGTTTTTTTTCCGGCATGATCTATCCTTTACTAGCTTTGTCAAACTATTCACCCTATTGAATCTTCCCAAACCCCACTCTGCATTGTTATAGAGAGAGCTCAGAAATACAAGCCTGTTTTAACGTTTAAGGGGGCGTGGTTAGATGGAGCAGTGGGTAAGGATGCTTGCCACCAAGCCAGAGGACCTGCGTTTGATCCCTGGAAATCACATAAGGAGAGAACCAACTCCCATACACCGTCCTCCACACACCTGCCATGGCATGTGCCTGTGCAGACACCCTAAATATGAAATGTAAATATAAACCCTTTTGGTGAACCAAGAGTGACGTGTCTTAATCCTTATGCTTGGATGAACTGAGGCAGGAGATCAAAAGTACACAGTCAGCTGGGCTACATAGGAATGAGGTCTCATAAAATCCCAAACCCAAACCAAATAAAACCTTCTGGTAACTTCCCAGGACTTACTGGGATCAAATTGAAATCTCTTTGTATGACGCACACACTTCATAATCTCGCTTATTTTGTACCCTCCTGGCACCGGAAGAGTAGGGGGGGGGGATGTTGGCAAGGGTCACATACTATCTCAGACTTCACAGGCACAATTGTCACTACTATTCAAATCCATGGTTGGAGCATTAAAGCAACCACAAACAACACATACACAAATGAACATGGCTGCTTTCTAATAAAACTTTTTCAATACTGGGTCTTCAGATGGTATGGTTCTTGCCCAGGTTGCATGACTTCAGTCCCCAACACTGGGGAGGTAGAGGCAGGAGGAACAGAAGTTGAAGGTCATCTTCTGCTACACATCGAGTTCAAAGTCATCCTGGACTAGAGACTGCCTCACAAACAAACAAAACAAAACAAAAAAAAAAACCAAAAAACAACCGTCCCCATAACTTTATCAGCAGTAAGCCAAATCTGATTCACATACAAGTTTTTCATTTATTTTTTGTGTTACTAGGAATGGAACCAGTGCCTGTAGCTGCTACAAAATATTCTACTGTAGATACATATACTCTACTGAGCCATATCCACAGACTCTAAACTTAAAAATATTCTAACCAGGTGGTGGTGGCACACCCCTTTAATCCCAGCACTTGGGAGGCAGAGGCAGGTGAATTTCTGTTTGAGGACAGCCTGGTCTACAAAGCGAGTTCCAAGACAGGCTCCAAAGCTACACAGAGAAACCCTGTCTCGAAGAAAAAAAAATTATCTTGAAACACCAAACCAAAAAAAATTTTTTTCTTTTCAACTAGGGGCTAAAAAGATGGCCCAGGAGTTAAAAACACTGGCTGCTCTTCCAGAGAATCAGGGTTTGATTCCCAGCACCCACATGGTAGCTAATCACCATCTGTAATTCCAGTTTTTTTATTGACATTTATTTATGCTGGGATTTTATAATGCTGGGACTAAAGGTGTGCACCACCAATGCCTGGCAACATTTATTTCTTTTTATATAACTTTTAATTTAAATTAGAAAATCTTGTTTTACATATCAATCCAAGTTCCCTCTCCCTCCCATCCTCCCATGCTCCCCACCAACCCCCCTCTACTCCCCAGGGAACGTGAGGCCTTCTATGGGGGATCATCAAAGTCTGTCACATCATGTATCTAGGCTGAGAGAGTATCCCTCCATGGGGAATGGGCTCCCAAAGTCCATTCGTGCAGTAGGGATTGGTTCCACTACCAGAGGCCCTATAGACTACCAAGATCTCCTGACACCCACGTTCAGGGGGCCTGGTTCAGTCCTGGTAACTGGTTCCCTGGCTGTCAGACTGGGGTTTGTGAGTTCTCACTTGTTCAGGTCAGCTGTTTCTGTGGGTTTCCCCAGCATGGTCTTGTTCGCTTTGCTCATCACTCCTCCCTCTCTACAACTGGATTCCAGGAGTTTGGCTCAGTGCTTAGCTGTGGGTCTCTGCTTCTGCTTCCATCAACTACTGGGTAAAGGTTCTAGGATGGTGTTTAAGGTAGTCATCAATCTCATTATAGGGGAAGTGCATTTAAGGTAGCCTCTCCACTACTGCTTAGATTCTTAGTTGGGGTCATCCTTGTGGATCTCTGGACATTTCCCTAGTGCAAGATTTCTCTTTAAACCTATAATGGCTCCTTTTATTATGGTATGTCTTTTCTTGCTCTCTTCTGTTCTTCCCCTGACTCAGTCTTCCTGATCGTTCATGTTCTCCCTCTCCTCTTCTCCCTTTCCCTTTCTCCTACTCCCCCCTCACCTCCACCCCTGTGCTCCCAATTTGCTCAGGAGATCTTGTCTCTTTCCCCTTCTCTGGGGGACTATGTAGGACTCTCAGAGTCCTCCTTGTTTCCTAGCTTATCTGGTGGTGTGGATTGTAGGCTGGTAATCCTTTGCTCTATGTCTAAAATCCATATATGAGTGAGTATATACCATGCTTGTCTTTTTGTGACTGGGTTACCTCACTCAGGATGGTTTCTTCTAGTTCCATCCATTTGCCTGCAAATTTCAAGATTTCATTGTGTTTTTTTCCGCTGAGTAGTACTCCATTGTGTAAATGTACCACTTTTTCTCTACCCACTCTTCAGTTGAGGGGCATCTAGGTTGCTTCTAGGTTCTGGCTATTACAAATAGTGCTGCTATGAACATAGTTCATACAACAGATGTCCTTGTTGTATAAATGTTCATCTTTTGGGTATATGCCTAAGAGTGGAACTGCTGTCTTGTGGTAGACTGATTCCCATTTTCCTGAGAAACCGCCATTCTGATTTCCAAAGTGGCTGTACAAGTTTGCACTCCCACCAGCAATGAAGGAGTGTTTTCCTTTCTCCACATCCTCTCCAGAATAAATTGTTCTAGGCTGTATAACTCCAGTTCCAAGGAGACCCAGGGCCCTCTTCTGGTCTGTGCATGCATTGCACACATACACACAGGCAAAATACCCACACACATAAAAAAACTAATTAATATGAAAAAAGAAAGGTCTGTATTGATACTCACTAACAAACTGTTTTAAAAAGTATTTCCAACTGAAAGGAGGGGGCTAGAGAGATGGCTCAGCTCTTAAGAGCACTGGCTGCTCTTCCAGAGGACCCAGGTTCAATTCCCAGCATCTACATGGCAGCTCACAACTGCCTATAACTCCAGTTGAAGGGAATCCTGCACCCTTTCCTGCCTCTGAGGGCACCCACTCTGTGCACAGATATACATGCAAACAAAATAAAATACATAAAAAACGAGTCTTTAGAATAAATCTTTCAAGTGGGCTGGTAAGATGGTTTAGGGGTTAAAGGTACTTGCTGCCAAGCCTGGAAACCCAGGTTTGAAGGATTCCTGCAAGTTCTTTTCTGACCTTCACATGCATACATAATACACAGAATACATGCACAACACTTTATGTAGGTGATGTTTTCCTGTACCAGCAGCAGCTCTCGAAACAGCTACCCAGTGTTAATATTAATTATAAATGCTTGACCAATTAACTCAGGTTTGTTAATAGGTAACTCTTATTTTTCAGTTAACCCATATTTCTTATCTATCCTTTGCCATGTGGCTGGGTACCTTTTCTCAGTATGGCATGCCCATCTTGTTTCTCTGTCTGCTCTTGACCCCCGACTCGCCCTTTTTCTTCCCAGCATTTCTAGTCTGGCTCTCCTGCCTAACCTTATCCTGTTCAGCCTTTCGCCAGTCAGCTTGTCTATTAAACCAATCATAGTGACATATATCCACTCAATGTAAAGGAATAGTCCACAACTTTAAGTCTTTCAAATTTCTTAAATATGGACAAATAAGCAGCCACGGAGGTGGGTGGCTCTATGGATTACTGCACTTGACAAGCCTGGGTCTTAGCTGGTGGAAGAATACTGACTCCTGCAAGATGTCCTCTGAGGGTCACCCATGGCACATACAAGTGTTCTTGCTCTTACACACACACACACACACACACAGACTGTGATTAAAGGTGTTTACTACCATGCCTAGCTAATAATTTTTTGTAATAAACCAAAAACAAAAAAACAAACTAAAAAACTAAACAAAACAAAAACCCCCAAAACCAAGAATTCAGTGGGTGGTGGTGCATGTTTTTTTATTCCAGCACTCAGTAGGCAGAGGCAGGTGGATCTCTGGGAGTTCAAGGCCAGCCTGGTCTACAGAGTGAGTTCCAGGACAGCCAGAGATGTTACACAGAG